AAGTCGTCGCACGGCGCGCATTGAATTTAGCGTAAACGAACAATGTAAATACGCGCGTTGTAAAGGTTGCAAGATGCTGACATAGACGTAGAGTTACACAAATAACCACACCCATATTTTAGAAACCACTCCCATATTTGTGAAACCACGCCTTAATGTAACTCGATGTAACAAAACAAATGTTCGGAGTGTAGCGGGAAAACTGTAAGGCAGGCGGGACTGCGGCACACACCATCTATGGTCAACACTACGGTACATGATACCGTCAACCATATGCAGCACTTAGTCTGCCGGCTCATATAGTATGCTACTCACGATGTAATAACAAAGCACACAATTAAAAGAAAGTACGTTTGAGTTTTCACTATATTTCTGTGATTAGAAAATTGCTCACGTTATCGGAAAGTTATCGCTGTTTAAATTAACGCACGTCAATTTAAACATGTTTGCTGGTGTACTCGTGAGATGAATTGTAATTGGTATAAACAGATAGACCATACACCCAGGGGTTGATGTACCAGGAAACGCAACATGTGAACAAACGGACAAATGGGCTGAGGGAACAGCATCATGAACAAACGCTTTGATATGATAATTGAGAAATTGTCGTTCAAGACAGGAACGTGGTGTACTTTCCATATTTTGAGAAGTATATTTTCAATTATATGCTTTGTATTGGCCGTCAAACTGTGACGTTTTTTAACATGTTTGTCAACCAACATGTTAATGATTAATAACAAATATCGCTTACTGATCAGTACTAATTCACGTCCTGTTCTGTTGACGTTGCGCATAACGATTTTCATAAAAATACGTGTATATTTAATAACAACAGCAGCGACAATTTTTATCTTCGGACGCGAACAACCAATCACTGCGCATGCACGCACACACGCACGCAAACACACGATCGCGCGCAAAACATAAACAAGTGAGAAGGCCAATACTCGCATTGTACCCACCTGCATAACGGGGTCGGTGTCTGTGGCACATTAAGTTATTGTCTACGTTTTGATTTACCTGATTAATTCTGTGATTTCTCAGCGGCAGTTCACCATCCGGCTGACTTTTGTCGTTAATTTTCTTGATTAAGTTATTTTTCTTCTCTATACTCTAAAATTAACTCTAGACCGTTGATAAATTGGGACAAATAGTGATAGGCAGTAGCAATAAATGCTGCGCTGATAAATGCGGTAAGATGGAATTCACGACCTGTACGTGGAAAATATCTAAATAGGAATGATAGCAGGACTGCATATTAACGCAGGCACAGAGAAGAAAATGCGCTTTTTTTTATTATGCAACATTCTACAAGCACCTCCTTTTAAACTTGCGCGGTATCTTGTTGGGCGAGTGGGGTTATCCAACCTTAAAGATACGCGAATCATTGGTTCAGGTGATAGTAGTCGTAACAGCTATCTGTCACATGAGTATCCAGCATACACATTCGCACACTGAGACAATTTCACATTTAACGCCAGAGATTAGGAACAACATCAGACTGGGTACTACGGACATTGTTTTTTCCGCATGTTTCTCGCGTGCGTGCGTACTAGTTCGCAAAGTATTCAGGGTAATATAACGCTGATCCGATTTCCCCAGTCTCTCCTTAGTGAAAACGCAATACAGTCTAAAATAAACTAGAGACCATGTCAAGTACTCCCGTGTGATTTAATCGGTTATTAAAAGGCATTGCTCGAAAACAGTCAGTAATGTGGTTACTTTTCTCTACTAGGATATGGACGAAAAAGACACGAATGAATCAAATTATATTCAGGTTACACGTTTTCGATTAACTGTCACAACTGGGACTGAATAACAACAACGAGATCGATACACGTAATACATTATTTTCAGAAAGACACGCGAGAATCAAACAAACCATTTATGCAAATGAAGTATTCAATATTAACATACAAGCATTGGATTCTAAAGTGTAAATTTTATATGAGTTGTGTTATAGAAAGCTCTGTATTTTTCATCATCATCATTATCATCATCATCATCATCATCATCATCATCATCATCGTCACCATCATCATTTCCTTGTCTTCTGGAGGAGAATAGGGCCAGCATCTCTCCTCCTCCATGGTTCTCTGTCTTGAGCCGCTACTTCTGCTTCTGCTCAAGTCTTGTATCCCAATTGATTTCTTTCTTTTTGTACAGTTCTTCTCCAATTCTCTTTTGGTCTTTCCACATTCCTTTTGTCCTCTGGAGCCGATGTTAAAGCGATTCTTGGTATGTCATTCCTTTCCATGTGTAACACATGTCTCAATTATATTGAGAATATTGAAAATTTGTATTTATACGTTATACAAATCGTAATACTGTACGTTAGTGTAGACCGGATTTTCAGTCCTTGTCTCCCGCGTAGTGTATTTGACCATCCTGCGTTTTATACTGTCCTAGGTGTATTTCTTATTACACACAGAAAGACAAACAGCTCACCTGGCTTCCGAGACTGACTCACTGCACCGTAGAAACTAGAACCGAAACTACCGTTAGTATTAAACAGGTAGTGCTCGGTTATTACCATATTTCTTCTGTTAAACTACTTTTCAACAAAATGCAACCAAATTCGTTTTATTGAAGTCCTGACAAAATCGTGTTTACCTCGGTTTTACTTCAAGTGTATTAAAAAAGTGTATACATGAACAATCGCTATTTGCATAACTACTATCAGCGAATAGATTTCCAATTTTGAGTGGATGTATTATTCAAATGAAAATTCGTATATATGTATATAGTAGTAGTCACTTGGAAAATTACTTTTTTATAGTTTTTGGTTCAGTTTGGTTTTATATTCAACATAGATCTACTGTGATGATTCAAACGCATCTTGCAGACATCGGTATTTGTGATTTTGATAGTCA